TGTCTGTGTTTGTGTGTCTGTCTGTGTTTGTGTCTGTGTGTGTTCAAAGCTGGTACTACTACTATGTAACAGTGTGGATATTTATTGAGTGTAGTATTTCTTGATCGATTACAATGTCCTGATCATGTGTTCTGTTCATGTGCTTTAATTAGTGTTTCTAAATAGAGTGTGACTGTTACACACACTGTTATTTGTAATCAGCTGGGTAAATTTGTGTGTGTGTGTGGTATGGGGTGGGTGTGTATCCTTGTTCTGTTTACATCCCTCAAGTGATGCAAAGAGCTGAATTGATTAGATGATTAATCAATCGACAGAAAAATAATCTGCAACTATAAATTCAATTAAGCGTTTCAGTGATATATTATTACAATAGTTGCATATCTTCTTTGTTTGAAGTTTGAAGACATCCTCGTCAGCTCAGCAAAATTTTTTAAGTTGTCAGAATTTGATTAATCAATGAATTGAAAAAATAATCTACAGAATATTTAGGTCTTTGCTGTTTTGTTTGTTTCTCTTTAAGCTATCTTTATCCCATATTTGTCCCACCACTCTGTAAATTTTACTTTGACACCATTTTTCTACCCTCGCCTCTTCCTCCCGCTCCCTCTCGGCGTTTCTCTCATCTTAAATACATCATCTGTGCATATTTAATGCCTCCTGCTCTCCTGTACCAGGCTGTGTGAATAAAATAATAATGATCTGTAGAAGATCCGGTGGATACTATGAGATGCAGAACATCTTTATCTGATGGTTGTGTTTGTGTTCTGAGCTGATAAATAAATATGACCACCCCTCCAGCTGGAAGCTCTCGCAGTAATTTCATAATTGATGAGAATAAATGGCAGCTTATCTTCATCCGAGGGCTGTTTTCCTCTAATCATCATTTATTTTTGTAACTCTGACTCTGAAGCTTGAATGGTACATGTCCGTTTTATTCTGATTTAGCAACTTTTGTTAGATACTGGTTTTTGATTGTTGAGAATAAACACTTGATCTGAGTTTGAGTTTGAATTGCCGTGACTGTAACCTTATGCAGGCTTGTGTGAATCTTCCGCTTATACTCAGACCTTGAGTGAGAATCTCTTTGAAGAGATTAGCGTGCTATCACGTTGAATGTGCACACACACACTTGACCTCAGTATCACAGCAGGCAAGATGGACTCCTGACGTGCTAATAATCAGTTTCTCCTTCCCCCTCTCTCCCCCCGTCAGTGTCAGGGGAGCTCATTAGTGTGCTCTGTTACCTGTCTGCGTGTGTGTCTGAGCATCCACTCAGTGTGTTATGAGAGGATGATCATGTGGAGTCTTTCTTAGGAAATGTATTGAGCAGCTTTTACTCGCTGAATCCACGTTTCTGGTTGAACAGCAGCTATGCTCTGCAGAGACGAGGCAGCTGTTCTCATCATTGCTTTTCACTGACCCCCAGCTCAGGATCAAACACTATGGATGAAGACAAAATAGCAGTTTGGGAGGGGATGATATTTCAGAGTAAAGCTTTGAATTTACTTGTTGTGCTGAAGGTCTTTTTTTGCTCTGTGTCTCTTCAGGGGCTGCACTGAGGAGTACGAGATGAAGACCATGGAGCAGAAGTCAGAACCTGAGCCTCTGGCAGCAGGTTACCGACCCTCCCCTCGTTCGACATGGCGATGGGACAGCCCACCCATCCCTCCGGGGCTCCACAGTGCCCCGAACCCGCAGCGCTGGGCCCCCATGGGCCCCCCGCCGCCTCCACTGCCCCGCTCACACAAGACCCTGATGCCTGTTCCTTACAGAGAGCCGCAGCACCTCAACTCCAAGAGGTCAGAATAGAACTCATAAACAATTAAGTACAAGCATAGATAATATCAGATGAAATTAAAAATAACACAAGGATAAGTATCAAAGATTACATGTTTTTCTCCTGGTTAACGGCCACCCTCTCTGTGTCCCCCAGGCCAGTGAGCTACCCAGAGAACCACTACACTCTGTCCCCTGCAGGAGGCGACAGAGTCCTGCCCTACAGAAACCCCTCAGCCAGCTTCTCCTCACCCTCCTCAGGCCTGGTCGGCCTCTCCACAATGGGGCCACCTGGAATCACACCGGGCCCATTTGTGCGCTACAAACATTCACCCGACAGGTGTGTTTGTGTGGTGTTTTGTCCTCCGAGCTCTGCTCCATCACTCCTTTTGATCCTGAACTAACGTTAACGGTGTTACTCATAACAACTGTTTACTGCGCTCGAGGCGGATTACATTTGTTCAGAAGACCAGCTGAAAAATGTTGCATATTCAGGTCTGCAGTTAGATGTGTAAGAACTCACTGTCTCCATGAGGATGGATCTGTTGTGTGGGCGGCTCTTCCTCACAGTGTGGAGGCTGATAACATCTCGTCTAACAAGAGGAACATGTTTTTTACAACCACCACTCGAACTGTAGATTTTCCGGTTTAGTTATGTGTGTGTGATGTGCTTTTGAATAGTCTATGTTATGAAAAACAAGATTTAGAGACGTTAGAATGGATGTGTTTATTAACAACATAACCTCCCTCTTTATGTGACATGTCAATGTAGATATGGAACAGGACAGCGCCACCTGCTGCCCTATGAGCCCCACCTCAGCGTGGACATCAACTCCAGTGGGGAGTCTTCCTCAGGCTTCACCAGTCAGGAAAGCACCATGGAGCGCTGCAAAACAGGTTCATCACCTTTTTTAATATAGATTACAGGCCCCACATTCTTATATCTAATATACTAGTTGTGTATTTGCTACATTACTTTAAAACAGCAATAATCAATATTTTTTATAGTAACAAGGAATTATCTCTACAATAAAGTATTTCAGTTCATGGTTTTGGAGACTAGACTGTTTTTTATTCACTCACATAGTGTCATTTAGCAGCTTCAGAGCCAGCTGTTTCCCTCAGGAGTTGATGAAGAGCAAAAAAAGAGTAAACAGCCGCTGTTGCTGTTTTTTCTGGGGCCATTTGGGAACAGAGTTGTTAGCAATTCAACAGTTATGTTTCTGCATAAACATAACTGGTCTTGCTATGAATGTGAGTCATATATTCACTTTTTCTTTTTTGGTCTCTAACAGCTCCTGATGGAAATGTATAATTTATCTTCTCATTGCTGTGACTGTTTGATATTTCATGCTGAGCAGGTTGTGTACAGAGGATTTTAGAGCTTTGTCATAAACTGCTGCAGCCAGAAACAAACACAATGAGACAGTGAACCATAACAGTAAGGTTAAGGTCCAGACAGTTGACCAGTGAGCTGAAACTCACTTTAAAGCCTCTGTTAAGCCTAACAGTTATAAGTTTAGGTGATAATTCTGTGTAGGTTCATCGCTAAGAGCGACCCACATTGTTTTCAATGTTAAACTCCTTTAAGAGGGACAGATACATGAGCTCAAATTAGTCTGAAGGTTGCCACATTAATATTTGGCATGTCTGACGAAGTTGTATATTAATTAGACTTGTCTCTAACTACACACTGGTTTCTTGTGTGTATCAGAGAGTAGAGCAAAGATAACTGAATGTGATTGAGTGTGTGGGGGGAGGTCGTTGTTTAAATGTGATATAAGTATTTAATCTTCTTTGCCGACCATGGGGGTTCAATGTAATTTGCTTTAATCCTGTGTCTGTTTGTGTTTTCTACCTAGAACCCCTCTGGCATGTTCCGGTGTCAGCGTCCCGGGGACCAGGTGGTGGAGCGGGGCAGAGGAGAATCCCCAGACAGGACATCCCAGGGAAAGACTCTCCAAACAGACACTCGAAGGTCAGACTTGTCTTCACCTCATCTCATTTATTAATCTGTCACCTTCTCTGCCTCATTATTTGTCCGTCTGACTTTGGTCCTCGTATCCTCTGCAGGGCGAGACTCAGTACTCCAGTCACTCCAGCAGCAACACTCTGTCCAGTAACGCCTCCAGCAGCCACAGCGACGAGCGCTGGTTCGACGGAGGTCCTGGAGGCGACCGAGGAGGAGGCGGGGGATGCCTTGGCGACCTGGCAGACCCCGACCCTGACCTTCTCAACAAGGGAGGGTCCAACGACAGCGGGATTGACGCCTCGACCCACTACGGCAACAACCGCCACGGAAACATGTCCAACAACCAGCCCCACAAGCCCGTGCACTGCTCCACGACTTACGTCGGCATTCAGGAGCTCTCTGTGGGAAGGAGCAGCGGCGGGGGAGAAGCAAGGAGACGAGAGTCTTCACCCATCGCCGCTGAAGCCAATCAGAATAAAGGGTACCGAACGAGGACATTCCCGCCTCCTGGCTCCAGTGCTGATAAGATGGATGCTTTCAAACCCAGGTAAGAGACCAACTCACTGACGAGATGTATTTTTTATGGCGTTTTTTATGAAGTGAATATTAACTAACATCCACCTTCATATAAGAATCGGCAGATTTATCCCATATATGTGGTGCTTTATGAATCTTTCACTTCAATGCTGCTTAGCTTAATGGAGAAGGGTTGTTCTTGGTAGTGACAAGTTTTCTTAAGGTTTTAAGCGAATGAGCCACCAAGCAGCAGTTATGTATCAGCAGCAGATCACCATGGTAAAATTATGATATGTGAAAATGCATCTTAAAGGAACATGAGGGATTACAGCAGCCTAATCCTCATGAAACATACAGGTCATCATGAGATCTCCTCTGCTCGTGGACTTGTCACTGCAAACACACGTCATTAACGCATACAGAGCCATTAATCTCACACACGCACACATACTCGCTTCCACCTCTCTGTGTTGGATTAATGCAGAGTGCCACTGACTCTGATGCTGCAGTCTGTGTCTGGGATGTGCCGGATCATCAGCATACAACATGATGCAGATATGAAAAACAATTTGAGGGCGTGATGTCATTATGTTGTCACATTTGCAACCTGTCTTAGTCAGCAAGTCGAGGTGCTTTATTCTAGGTTTGAAGTGTTGGTTCTCTCTGACTTCATAGGTTTTAGAAATCTTTTACTATCTATTACTCAGCGCTGTAAGAGAAAGGATGCCATATTTTCGCATCTGCTTTGTCGACAAGTCGTGGACGGATGGCAGGAGCGCTTAAAGCCACACCTCTTGTCTTGTCACCATGAAAATAAAAAATGGTTGGCACGCCCACTATGCCTGCAGGGAGAAGAAGGAAGTGGAGTGCTACACACATACACACACACATTATTACCCTAAGGAAATATGGCATTTATTAATACATTAAGTAAAAATACTGGTAAAATGGTTTATGTACTTTTGTATAAATATTTGTATCCCTAATATTTTTATATATCATACGTCGTGCAACACTAGTTGTAAGGTGTACAGTTTATTTTGGTTAGAAGTTAGCTGCTGAATAATATCATCTGATAAATGTCCGTTGAATAATGTGGATGTTTTCAGAGAGTTGATAATCAGCTGGTTTTTACAGTGCTGAAGGTTTGGTTCAGTGGATAAAAGACGTTTCAGGCCCTGATCCTTCATGCAGCATCATGAAAACACTAGATAAATGACAGCAGTAATCGGTCATAACGCTCGTGCTGTTTACAGTAGTTGTCAATAAAGTTGTAAAAGCAGACAGCAATATAGTATCTACTGTGTATATACTAAATGGATGCCACCACCTTGAATTTTATTGAAGTCTCCGTCATCCTCTGTCTCAATCGCCTGATCAGTGAAGAGGAGGATAGAAAATGTGCCAGGATAAATAAACTGCCACACAGAGGGAACACACGTTGGGCTTTTATGCTTTTACTGTTTTCTTTATTTTACATGTTTATTGTATCTGTATTTGACACAGGATCTTCCACAACTCATACTCATTGCATGATTACGATTCCTGGATTATTGCTATTTTAATCATTGTCTCAAAAGGCTGGAAAATACTGCTAATAGACAAGTCTTTTTGACATCATCCAGCAAAAGGGTAAAAAAAAGCAGTATTTTCATTTGAGGAAAAATGATAAATCGTAATGTTGGTTTGTTCTTCCTGTGATCTAAATCTATTTTCAATTAAGTTAATGCACCTTGCATCATGGTGCACCGTGCACCATCTGTGACAGGCTGTTAAGATAATATGACTAAAAATATTATTGTATGTAAACAGGGTTGGACAAGCAGATCCAATACCAAATATGGAAACTCATTACACTCATATATAACCAGAAAATAGCCAGTAAAGGAAACTAAAGTGATGCGATTTTTGTTGTAAAACTCATTATATGGACACCATAATCAACATTATTATAATTTTTATTGGACCTATTTTTTTCCCCCTTCATTTGTCTCATTCACTTCTGAAACCAAACCTACTTGTTTACACCAAGTAGCTGTTGACCCTCTGTCATGTGTATCAGTGAGTGTTAACAGGATTCCTGTTGGACTGTGCTGTTGATCATTATGAAGCATTTATCACATGTACGTCTGTGTGTCCTGTCCCTCCTCTCAGGGCCTACACGCCGCAGGGCTACAAGACTCCGACAGCGGAAAAAGCACGGCCTGTCCGAGCCGCTACAGCGACGCCCACCTCCGCTCAGCTGAGCTCCATCTCTCTGTCCAGCTCTGCCCCCAAAGCCTTATATGGAAAGAGCCGACAAACCGCCTGGCAGAACGAAGACAACAGTCCATCGCCGTCAAACACGACTGTGGCATCCAGCTCCGACAGCAGCAACAGCAAGAAGTAAGAGAGATGGAGGGTTTAAAACTGATTAAGTACCTGGGTTAACCGAGCTGACGACAACTTTAAACTGTCTCAGTCATCTGCAGCTAAAACATCTTTCATCACAAGTGGAAAGAACAGGCTGACAGTTTTACCAGAATTGAAGATCTATATATATATGTGATATATGGGATAAACCTTTGACCTCATAACAACTCCCCCTCATCCCTTTACAATATTTTACATTATAATTTGTATTATTAATCGTACGTCCATCAGTATAAAATCTAAATAAATGAATGAAAATACAGAAGAATATTAAAGAAAGAGATACAATAATTTTGTGTACAAAAATGTACAAATACATTCAAATACATTCAAATACATACAAACTTTTTGTTCCAGTAAAAAAGAGTCACAGCAAAGAATGAAAATATCAGAACTGCTGCTGAAATGTGACCTGTTGGTGGAGTCATGAGCAGAGGATTGAAACCATTGTCAATGTAGTTATAGATAAGTAAATATGATCTCCCTCAACTGTAAAGGGGCTGGAGATGTAAATAGTTTCTATTAATGTGAGGAGACACACAAAAATGACGACAAAGAACATACATACATACTATAATTTGTTTTCTTCACGCTCATGTCTTGTGTTTCCAGGCAGGTGGACGCAAATTCAAAGAACGTGTTTGGACAACCTCGACTCCGAGCATCCCTGAGGGACCTGCGCTCTCCACGGCGGACATACAAGAGCACCATCGAGGACGACCTGAAGAAACTGATCATCATGGACAACCCGGGAGAGATGCCACAGAGAGATCCAGTGAGGAAGACACTGACGCTTGTGCACCCTCACTTCACTCTTCAGTTTACAGTTGTACCTTCAAGAACGTGCACAGATCTGATCCCTGTGGTTTTTCTCCCTGTAGTCTCCCAGACGAACTTTGCAGCGCACATTTTCAGACGAGTCACTGTGCAGTGGCCGCAGAGAGGCCAGCTTTGCCAACTCTGAGAACCAAACGACTCCGACTGATTTACTTTTCACCTGCACGCTGCCCACTCGCAGACACGCCGTCTCCTCCAACCACCTGCAGAGCAAGAAGGGTCAGTTTATAATGTTGTCTTTAGGCTGGTGGTAAAAACTTCACTGCCACCACTGCTGTGTTGACTTTACCAGCTGCCTAATGGTAGTAGTTGAAAGCACTCTTTTTATGGTTGTGATGTACAAGGTATTTGTTTCCCTACTAAGCCTTGTAGATGCTGTTGTTTCCTGCAGAGGTTTGTTTACTTACTGCAGCTCTTCTCATCATCTCTCCCCAGTGCCTCTGTCTGCGTCTGAACTGTCTCTCACAGAAGTCAGGGACAAAGTTCCCCCCCTGAGGAGGCTCGATCCTGGGTTGATGCCTCTCCCTGACACTGCCTGTGGACTTGAGTGGTCCAGCCTGGTCAGCGCTGCTAAAGCCTACGAAGGTGAGGAAGGAGACACTTCAGGGTTACAGTTCTTCAAGTAAAGACTCAGGCTTCATCCATACTAATATACTTTCGTATTAAAATGGCATTTTAAAACAAGTAATATCCATCCACACCTAAAAAAAATCTCACATCATGTGACCATTCATTTTCATTGGGAATGTGCATGCCAGTATAAACAGGAAGCAGATTGTCTACACTACAGCTTGTTGCTTGGTTACAGAAAGATGGTGAAAAGTAGGATGAGAGATTCATTTTCTCAGAGCAACGATGAGGTGGAACTCTTTCTTTACGATATTTTGCATTGACAGCTGGTAGTTGCATCGTGATCGATAAGAACCAATCAGAAACAAATGCTGGTGACTGTGCAGGTTTGGATGTGAATAAATTAGCTGAAAGTCTTTATATTTACACACATTACAACTGCTTTGAATTAACAGCCATCATATCAAAGTCATGTCAACCATTAGTCAGTTAAATGCTTGAGAAATCAAATTTTCACAAAGTATAACCTTGTTTTAGTGCAAGATTTAAAAAAGCAGTATTAAATCCTAAACTTCCTGGTGGTTGTGAGATGTATTGTCTGGATGTTTGGGGTCAACTGGTTTCACTGTGTCTCTGTCACACGACACTCCTGGGAAAGGTAGACTGAGAGATCTGTGTATTCATCTACACCTTGTTCCCGAGTCCAGATCTCTGCTGTCCCTCTTGTCCTCTGCTTCCACAGAGACAAACACTTTTATCCACTGCCCAACCCGCTGCTGTGTTCAGGTGCAACAGTGTCTTGTATCTCCAGGGACACTTTGGTGAAAAGACTCATTAATGCAGTGTATTTAAAGTTGGATCATGTGTCTCTATTGCAGCACAAAGAGCGGTTTCCCTCTTCTCACTGACTGAGCCACAGGTCGGAGGTCCTGACATGACACCAGTCATAAGTCCTGTTCAGTTCCAAACTCCTCAGACGCCACGGACCACACCAACCTTCAGCAGGTACGTCAGCTTCCCTGACAAACATCAAGCAAGCTCTGCTCTCTCTTACTACAGAAATTCAACCCCACCAAATATTCATGGCTTTGTTGTAGCTCCAGGTGATTGTTTACTTAGTCACTACTGCCACCCTGTGGTAGGTTGCTGAGATAGCATTATATACTCTGTGTATTCTCACCAGAGTAAACAGTTGTTTGTGTGTGATTGTATGTTTACAGAGAGAGAGTTGACTCCATCATTTTTTTTTACTTGAAGCAGATACACAATGATAAATCCACACACACCCAAAATCAGCGAATCCTACCATCCTTTATCACCTACATCTGTTTGTGTGTGTGTGTTTTCACAGTGAAGAGGCACCCAACGAGTTGTCTGGTCGGCTCTACCACCTGGAGGTCATGTTGAAACAGCTGAATAACGATCTGGAGAGAGTGAGAACCTTAATATTTTTCATCCAGGAGGCTTTTAACCCAGGACTTAACACTTAACTACATTTACTATGTCACACCGTATTAAATAATCTTTTTTCTGATGAGTGTGTTCAAACCATTCAAGATGAAGTCATCTTAACCTTCACCATAGAACCATAGGAAGTTCTTATCATACTGATGTTCTGATTCTTTGGTTTTATTTAGCTTTTTGATGCTATAAAAACAGGGTGAAACATCATGATTGACAGCTGAAACTGACTTTTTATTGGTCAAATGTATGTATCAGCAGAACCTCAATGCTGAAGCTACATTCCACAATCACTACTGTTGAGATTCTGGCTCCAAATGACGTCCAAAACGTAAAATGCTGTCACCCTTAGGATAGGATATATTAGCTTTAACAGGAGGAAGTGGAGACGCATCATCCATCTTTATATAATTATCTTAATAGCTTAATGTTTAGCAATTTAGTATTTAGCATTCAAACGTTATTAGTAAATATTTCCCCAAAATGTTCCAGTCGCACTGAACTGAGAATTCCTCTTTTCTACCACCAGGAGAAGAAGGATAAAGTCGTCCTGCTCGCAGAGATGGCCAACCTGAGAGTGAACAACCAGCGTTTGCAGGAGGAGAGTCAGACGGCCAGCGAGCAGCTGCGCAAGTTCAGCAAGTTTTTCACCAACACCAACAACACAGGAAGTGACCACGGGGCTCACTCCTTAATGCACGACACTGACTCAAAGAGGCAGTGATCAACAGCTGCAGATGAAGAAGAAGAAGACGAGTGTGATTCAGGCCTGAGGGGGGGCAAGTGTGGGAGGAAGATTCTTTCAGGAGGCGGAGGTCAGTTGCCTCACTCAGCTTCCACTGGACTGCCTTAAACCAGAGAGGGTCAGGAAAAGACTATTTTTAAAACACAACACTCCCAGAAAGTCTCACAGAGCGAGACCCTCCCTCTCTTTTCTCTGAGCCTGTTTATTTTTATAAACTGAAGTCAAAGTCTTATATACTTTCTATATATGTATAAATATACTGAGTCTGCTACTTTGCTGGAGGAGTGATGAGGAGAGGAGAACCTGACTGTTTTTGAGAACACTACATCACCTGGAGAGGCCTAATACTGTTCCTGCAGCGAATCAGCCAAAAAAGACTCATTACAAACTGCATCTCCCAGAATGCACTAGTAGTAATGGAAGCTCTACAGACATGGTACTGTAGATAGATGCCTGTGTGGTACAATTATCATGTATCAATATTATCTATATTTTACTGATATTGCATAACGGTTGTACTAAAGAGGTGTGTGTGTGTGAGAGTGACAGAGACTGATGGTACAGTGAATATTCTGAAGCATTACTGCACATCAATGTTTGTGCTAAAGTCTTGATTTGTTTTATTACCCTTCGGTGTGTGTGTGTCTGTGTGTGTGATGGTCTGTTAAAGAACAACTGATTAATGAACAAACCAGTTTACTGTAAAATGAAACTTGTGGGCCACAGAATTGTTCTTTCCTCTGTTTACGTGGATGAACCGTGGCCCACATGTGAAACAAGCCATCAGCGTGTGGAGTGAGTGTGATTGGTCGATGTCAGAAACTCTGTGATACCTGCATCATGTCCCTGATGAAGTGCGTTGTTTAGAATCTCCAGTAGTGCCGCATCATCTCAGATCTCAACGTACTGGATCATTATTTTAACCCCAGAACATTTAGCTAACACTTTAAGACTTTTTTTCTCTTGTTTAAAACAATACACTTCTTTTCTTTCTTGCAGATAAAAAAGATTGATGCCACTATCACTTAAGTCAGGCCTGGTTGCCTAGCAACTGGTGTTACACAGAATTATGTGATTTAAGCAACATAAACTTGTATCATATATTTGGTTTTAAATAGCTGTGACTAATCATGGCATCCTCACTGTATTTATAAAAACAAACTAGATGTGAATAGGGGAGCACTAGAAATGCTTATTGGTGGATTTTGTTAAATCTTTGTTCAGTGTGTAGGATTTAGTGACATCTAGAGGTGAAGTTTCATGTTGCAGCGGAATACACCTCATCTCAAACATGAAAGAGAACCTGTGGTGAACTTCAGTTGTCATGAAAACTCAAAAGGTTTTAGTTTGTCCAGTTTGGACGACAGTAAAAAAACATGGCGGCCTCCTCAGAGAGGAGCCCCCTCCATGTTAATATAAAGTTTTAGATATAAAGGAAAACAACAATTCATACAATTTAGATGAAACACACCAGTGACAACATCTCTAGGATTATTGTAGATTCAATTTCTGCCGAAAATTTCTTTCACCTACATCTAACACACTGAACCTTTTAATATCAGTTTAATAAGTTATTGAAATGTTATGTGTTCGCAAACAAATACAATAATCTTTTTGTTAAGTTATGCTGTGGGATACAATTTAAGCCCCATCATTAATCCTGTATTTGTACATTTTGGAATTTAAAGTTTGCTGAATTTGCTGCTGTTAGTTTCTGTTCATGCTGTGAACAGAATAAATACTGGAAAGTGTCACTACATTATTAAGTAGAAAACTTGATGAAGTTCTGGATGAAGCTCTCAACTTTTTGCTGTGTTTTATAAGAAGGTTCATGGATGTTTACCATCACTGGATATTTCAGAGAAATAGTATCCTTGGAAGGTCCCGTTGAAAACATGTGTATCATGTTGACATTTAGCTGAGTCGTAACAAAGTATTTGTGTTGACAAAAACCTTGATAACCAAAAAGTGGCATCAATCGTTAAACTAAAGAAAACAAATAAGTGTATTTGTCAAAATGTCTGAACTCTTCCTGTAACTGCGTCGTGTGTGTGTGTGTGTGAGAAGATCGGGCCTGCAGCCAAACAGATAAAGGTTATCGTTCCAAAAAACATGGACATCTGCTGGCTTGTTTCCAGCTGAACGCTAGTGTGTGTGTTGTGATCTGCTGCGATGTGCCCTGTGTGTATGTCAGAAAAGCTTCATCAGAAGACACTTGAAGCGACGTCACTCGTCATGTGTGTAGATAGAAAAACATTTACTGTACATGGAACCTCACTGGACAACACTGACGATCCTTCATATCAGAACCAGTGTGTGTATGAGAGGATTCATCCACGTGTTCTGAACACAAGACACTTATTTATACAGCGAGCTGGCTTAATGATATTGTCTACTATATCTATTTTTCATACAGAACTGTGTGTGTGTGAATGTGTGTTGATGTGTGTGTGTTTTTGTTGATGTGTGCTGGTACTGAATGGATAACACATCCCTGCAGAGGATGAAACTTCTCTTCCCCTCTCACTTCATTCATTGACTGATGAAACTGTTCTGAACTCTCAGCCCAGATGAACAGTCACATTTTTCCTCCCTGGTCTGACTGGATCTGTTTGTTTTTCCAACTTGCTCAGGTTTCTCAATATGCTGTTAACAATGACGCTACACCATCAGTGAGGGGCAGGTGATGTGATGTACTGTGAGACCCTTTAATATTTCAGGGTATTGGTTCATTGTAGGTAAATCAAGGTTGTAATTAATTTGCTGGATTTGTTTAAAACGGCAAAATACAAAATGTTTCTCAACAGATTTCACATTATGTTTATGACAATATCTACAAATGACATATGCATTTTTATCTGTTTACCCCCC